TACAGGTAACAGGGCATGAAAAAGACTTACATTTTCCACACCATTTAGGGTCAGGGGAGCTTTCCCTGTATCTATTAATGAAAAACCAGCAACGAAAAACAACCAAAAGGTGTCATTGCATATCAGTGAGAACCAATACATATGAAAGATTTAAAAGGTATAAAGGAAGCAGTAGTCTCTATGGCATGCACTCACCATATGTGAAGCAATTAGTAGAGTCATGGGCAAGGAATAACAAGGTAACCCATAAAGATTGGGATCAATTAATATCAGCTGTCCTTGAAAACTCCTCTCAATTAGAATGGAGGGCTATATGGGCAGAGGAAGCAAAAGCTCTTGAACTTCAGGGCTTAAATAAAGGTTATAAAGCTCCCCAAGATAAAATTCTTGGTGAGGGTCATTATGCTGACCCAGAAACCCAAGCGTCCTATGATGAACATATCTTGTCTCTATGCAGTACAGCAGCTCTGAATGCTTGGGATAAGGTTCATGAATCAGGAGAGAGGATAGAATCCTATACCAAGATAAGGCAAGGACCTAGAGAATGCTTTAGTGTGTTTCTAGAAAGATTATCTAGGTCAGTACAATTAGAGGTAGCAAACATAGATTCTAGGCAAATACTCATAGAATCTTTAGTTTATGAGAATGTGAATCCTCAGTGCAAACAGGTGCTTTGGCCTTTAAAAATGTGATCAGCACCCTTGGATGAATGGGTCCTATATAAAGCCAACATTGAGTATAATGACAATAAGACTGAAGCATGTGTAGGAGAAGCCATATCTAAAGGTCTGAGAAGACATCAAGATAACAGAGTTCTTAACTATGGTGACTTGGAAGCTTGGGTAGGAGAAGCCATCTCCAAAGGTTTGAAGAGATATCAACATGTCAGATGTTATAAATGTGGTAAGATAGGACATCTAAAAAGAAATGGTAGGCAAAGCTTCCCTAGAAGTAACACTCCAAGGAATGAATCAAACAGAAGGCCTCAGCCTCCTGGGTTATGTAGAAGGAATGGCAAATGCCCAAACACTGGGCAAATGAGTGTAGGTTGACCAGAGACAAGCAAGGAAACCCTTTACCATCAGGAAACTCCTTGGGGGGCCTCTCGAAGGTGGTTCAAACATTCCTAGTCACAGTGGAAGACAATCTGCCACAGGACAATTAGAAAATTCTGTGCCTATCATAAAAACTCATACCACTCTGGACGACAAACTAGTGACGGAAGTTGAATCAAGCATGACAGAAGGAAATAAAAAACATATATTTTGGCAAACCTCTATGAATAGTCAAAGGCCTAGGTTGATAGTTAAGATGAATAACAGATTGTTTGATGGGTTATTTGTCACAGGGGCGGACGTAACTATCATGTCTAATAAATCTTGGCCTCGAAGATGGCCCCTGCATGAGGTAAATATTCAATTCTTAGGGATTGGAACCCTGTCTCAGGTAAAAGAGAGCACGAGATGGATTGAACATATAGGGCCAGAAGGACAGAGAGGAAGGTTGAGACCATATATGGCTGATGTAGTGATAACATTCCTCCAGTATTAGATAGGAACCATAAACAACTTCATGATTGTGAAAAAAATATTATAAAGTACTATACAAGACAGATACCAAATATCCAGTCTGTACAAAAACAGACTACAAGTGCTGAACAAACAGAAGAACCAAAAGTCCTACCTTTAAAATGGCTAACAGAGGAACCTGTCTGGGTAGGACAAAGGCCTATGACCTCTGAGAAGTTAGAAGCTTTAGAAAGCCTGGTTCAGGAACATCTAAATGCTGGATATATATATCACATCAGATTGCATCTGGGTCTGCCAGGTCCTCTAGCACAAGGCAATGATCAAATTGATCGTTTATTGATAGGAAGTGTACTAGAAGCCTCAGAGTTTCATAAAAAACACCACGTGAATAGCAAAGGTTTAAAAAAGGATTTTTCTATCACTTGGCTACAAGCCAAGGAAATAGTAAGGAAATGTCCTACTTGCTCTTTCTATAACCAAACTCCTTTACCACCAGGCAGTAACCCTAAAGGTATAAATAGGAATGAAATATGGCAAATGGATGTGTTTCATTTTTCAGAACTTGGAAAATTAAAATATGTACATCACACTATAGATACATGATCAGTGTTTCAATGGGCCACTGCTCTGAGGTTTGAAAAGGCTGATTCTGTTATCATACACCTATTAGAGGTAATGGCCATTATGGGAATTCCTGCACAAATAAAAACTGACAATGCTCCAGCATACATCTCCAGCAAGTTGAAAAAGTTTTTTGAGTATTATAACATAAGGCACATAACTGGTATACCACATAATCCTACAGGACGAACAATAGTTGAGGGATCCAATCTTACTTTAAAAGAAATGCTCTATAAACAGGCAGGTGGAACAAAGACACCCACACAGAGATTACATAATGCTTTATTAACATTAAACTTTCTTATTGCTTATGAAAAAGGAAAAACAGCTGGACATTAGAAAAAAAACTTCTGAACTAAATCAGCCAGTGCACTTCAAGGATGTATTGACCTCAGAATGGAAACCAGGATATGTGTTATGTTGGGTTAGGGGGTATGCATTTGTATCTACAGGAGAAGAAAAACTATGGATACCATCTAAGTTAATCAAGATCCGAGTTGAACAAGAGAAACATCTTAATGAAGAGGAATGACAAGTCATCCAACAAATTAGGTCCTATGAGATGTTGCAGAGACCTCCCACAGGTCGGGAAAGTGTTCTGTTCTTGTTCATACAGGAAAACAGAGAATAGCCACTAAACATGTAGGTACCTACAGAAGAGAAGACAGATCTCCAGAAACAATCACTTAGTGAAGAAGAAACTGATTTATGGTAAAAATATTTCATTCTAGTAAAGTATTTTTATACAGAAATCTATTTCTCTTTACCATCCAGTTTTCCTGTAGTCCCAATTCATGCAATCCAATGCTGGCTTTGGAGTTGGATTTGGCTTTCCTTCTCTAAATTCAAGCATGTTGTTAAGATTAAATTCACGGTTTCTGTGTTAAATCAAGAAGCCATTTGTTATAAGGCAGAAGAAAACGAAATCTGGGGACTCGTTTCTTATATGCAATTTTCTCTCTGAAATCCTAATTTTCTCATATACTTTTTAATGCTTATTGTTGCCTTTCCATAATGCATACATTAAAACTTGAAATTTTTACTTTAATATCAATGTTTAAGTTTTCCACAACGAATAATAACAATTCTTAACAGCAGTCCTTGAACTCTCCGGAAAGAAGATCGGTCCGCACATCATTGTTTCCACTTGACTCAACCTGATGCATCTGGACTACATACATCAAGCTAAAACCAGTTTGAGACTGTTTTTGCTCGAGACAACTCATTACTAGCTAGCTGTAATGGTACACATTCTTATTACACCCTTGCCAGAATTTCAAATAAAACTACAGTCAAGCATTTTATGTCACACAGTGACTAGCTACATATGTCACAGCCAGTTCTGTTGAGAAATTTGGTTGCTAAAAATTTTCTTCCTACAGGATCCCATGGAGCAATCATTGCCCCATTTCAGCAGGAAGTAACCTTAAGATAATGATGCCCCCTTTCCCTACCCTTGGAATTTGTGTTGGTTTTAGTTATTTAGGTTTTGTTCTCGATTTTCCTTTTCTTAGAGCACATTTGTTATTCACTGTTTTGTATATATTTTTGTATCAAGCCTAAATCTTTTCTTTAGACTAAAAGGGGAATTGTAGAGGGATATTCACTTTGTCTCCTTCTGTGGCACTGGCCATGCCGATTAGGAGGTGGAGCCAGGGGGCGGAAGTGACCTGTGGAAGGAGGCCTGAGGAGGAGCCGGGGAACGCTCTCTTGCTGGTGGGTGGTGGAGAGGAGAGCATCGGTTGGAGCCTGCTGCTGTTAATCTGTCTACCTTGTAAGTTATTTCTCCCTGAATAAATGTCTATTCAGCCTATTTGTTTATCCTGATCCTTATTTAACAGCAATATCCTCCTTCAGACAAGAATAAGGAAAATTGTTTACACTGAAGGACGATTCAGGATAAGGAACCAGCTACTGGAACCATGGCTATGAAAAAAGGACTTGACTGTTGTAGAGCGAGTGATTTTATAATTTCCCAACATATTTGAATCTATGCCATGTGTATGAACACAGACCAGACTATGTGGTTGTACAGTGTGGTAAGCTTGTTCTGAGCTAATGAATGTGGATTTTGCCATTATGTAACTCTCTGCATGCAGAAATGTTCAACTTGCATGACTCAGATGTTTGAGAAGCAGTCATTGACTATGTGTCAGGATACTGAGCTCAATACAAAGTAACAGCATATGGGCAGCATCAGTCTATCTCTTGTTCTTCTTTTTTTTAACTGTTATATTTTTATTGAAATGACTGACTCTGTTCTGTGTACTTAATTAAACTGACTGTATGTGATGATTCTCCTTTGTTACATAAGTTGTTTCAGTTTCCTTGGATGACAACATACTGAAGGGAGAAAGGACGTGGCTGTTCTGCTGTTTTGAGAAGTTCCCAGCAGTCTAAAAAGTAACTTACCCTGTGGATGTGTCATTCCTTCAACCCAAAGAGTCTGACAGCTTGGAAGCTACCAAGGAGAGCCAGAGAAGTGAGACAATGCAGCCAACTAGCCCTCACCACTATAGTTCTAAGAACTACCCTTTGAAAACTGGAGTAAAATAATAGTATAACATGCCATTTATTTGTCTTCAGCTTCAATCAACTGTAGCAGTGAAGTAGCATGTTGTGACCAGCCTTAGCTTGGGAAACTGGACTTCACCTGTTTTCCAGAGAGGAACACCCATGGAAGGTGAGAGGACACCTGATTTTACTCAGTGCAGTGTCTAGAAGGCTTCGAGCAATGCTTTTAAATTGTTATTTCATGAATTTCATCCAGTATAAAATAAATTAGGGACCTTGTGGGGGGGGACGTTTTGAGGAAAAAAGAAGAGGCAAGTAAATAGGACAGGCTTCTGCTTACAAAAGGATGTCCTTATAAAACCGAACTAGTTCAAGCATTCTGGGTAGTGAGCTGAAGTAGACCTTTTATTTCTTCAAAATGCTGCTTCTGCCAACGGAATTTTGTATTCTCTTCTTTACAGACAGGAACTCCTTTACAGTCCAATTGTAATTCCATTTGCACTGGAGCAGGCACAAAATTCAATGCAACTGTTGCAGTGTTCTTCTGGCCAGTTCCTCCATTTCATAATGATCTTCCTATTTCTTAACAGTTCCACATATTCTCCAGTGATGTTCCCATCAAACATCTGGGATTTCCCTTCCTTTTCAAATTCTAATACAGCAGGAGATTTGAAAAAATTTTGCATCAAATCTTTTTTTTAATAGCTTAATAATTTTTTTTATTTAATTTTACATAACAAAGTCCAATTAAATGAAAACAAACATTTATATACAATATTTGGGAATTTGGGCATCGTTCTTTCCAACTACTTCCTGCTGGTAAGGGGCGCTATCTTGGGGGGATTCGAAGAAGATTCAGATATCCTAGCTGTAGTCTGTAGGGCTGTTTTGTCCAGCTGTTTTGAATGTAGGATCAGGTTGTACTCTGTTTCAGGCAGTCTGGCATGATCAAACCACATTAGTCTGGAAGGAATCCACATCTTTTCATTTTCTGTGGAAACATAAATAGAAATCCTTTTCCCCAGTAAATTGTTCTTCAAGTTAAATTTTAGAGTCAAAGCATTTTTTTAAATTTATTATTTTACATGTCGATCCCAGTTCCCTCTCCCTCCGCTCCAGCCCTCCCTCCCTCCTTCCCTACCTTTTACCCTCTCTGCCCTCTCACATGCACTCTCAACACCTTCCCCTCACATCCCCCCACCACAATTCCATATGTAGGGGAATGCCATCCAGTTGGGGTCATGTAGATCTGACAGGTCCTGTGAAGTAGGGACTAGGGCTTCTCTGCTGTCTCTAGATTAAGGCAGTTATCCCTCCATGGGGGATGTGTTTGCAAAGTCCTTTTGTGCACCAGGGATACATCCTGGCTCCACTGTCTGAGGTCTGTTGGACTGCTCAGTTCTTCTGCCAGGACCCATATTCAGGGGGTCCTGAGTCAGTCCCCTGCTGGCTTCTACCTATCAGTCTAGTGGCCCTTAGCTCCTCCTTGTTCAGGTAGGCTGTCTCTATGTGCTTTTACCACATGGTCTTGTCCTCTCCATCTGCTTCTGGGTTCTAGTTCGACTCAGTGTTTATGTATGGGTGTTTGCTCCTATTTTCAACAAGCATTAGTTGAGGGCTCCATGTAGAAGTTAGTTGTTGATCTCACTCTCCGGGAAGGGCATTTATGATAGCCTTTCCACAGAAGCTGAGATTGTTAGTTGGGAGCAGTCTTGTAGTTCTCTAGACCATTCTTTGTGTTCAATTTTATCTTCAAACCAATATTGGCTCCCTCTTTTATGTTCTCTCTCTCTCTCTCTCTCTCTCTCTCTCTCTCTCTCTCTCTCTCTCTCTCTTTCCAATCTTCCATTCCTAACCAGGCTCAATCCTCCTGGTTGCACATGCCTTCCTCTCCTCCTACTCATTTTCTCCTACTTCTCTCTCCATTCACTGTCCTCCCCCCCCCCACTTCACCTGAGCTCTGGGGGACTTGTCCCTTCTCAGTTCTGTGAGGGACTTTATATGAATCTCTTAGAATACACCTTGTATCCTAGTTCGTCTGGTGATGTGAATTATAGGCTGGTGATCATTTGATCTATTTCTAAAATCCATATATGAGTGAGTACATACTGTGTTTCTCTTTTTGTGACTGGGTTACTCATTCAGGATTGTTTCTTCAAGTGCCATCCAATTGCCTGCGAATTTCAAGATACCATTATTTTTTTCTGCAGAGTAGTATTCCATTGTGTAGATGTGCCACATTTCATTAACCATTCTTCAATTGAGGGGCATCTAGGTTGCTTCCAGGTCCTTGCTATTACAAATAGTGCTGTTATGAACATAGTTGAACAGATGTCTTTGTTGCATGGATGTGAATCCTTTGGGTATATGCCTAAGAGGGGGATTGCCGGTTCCTGTGGTAAACTAATTCCCATTTTCCTGAGGAACTGCCATACTGATCTCCAAAATGGCTGTATGAGTTTGCACTCCCACCAGCAGTGGAGGAGTGTTCCACTTTCTCCACATCCTCTCCAACATGAGTCATCACTGGTGTTTCTAACTTTAGCCATTCTCGCAGGGGTAAGATGGTATCTCAAAGTTGTTTTGATTTGCATTTCCCTGATAGCTAAGGATGTGGAGCATTTTCTTAAGTGTCTTTCAGCCTTTTTGATTTCCTCCATTGAGAATTCTTTCTTCAGTTCTGTACCCCCATTTTTTAATAGGGTTATTTGGTGTTTTGTTGACTAGTTTCTTGAGTTCTTTGTATATTTTGGAGATCAGCCCTTTGTCAGATACAGGATTAGTGAAAATCATTTCCCAGTCAGTGGGCTGCCATTTGGTCTTGTCAACTGTGTCCTTTGCCTTACAGAAGCTTCTAAGTTTGAAGAGGTCCCATTTATTAATTGTTTCTTTCAGTGTCTGTGCCACTGGAGTTATGTTCAAGAAGCGGTCTCCTATACCAATTTGTTCAAGGGTACCTCCTATTTTCTCTTCTAAGAGGTTCAATGTGGCTGGATTGATGTTGAGGTCTTTGATCCATTTGGACTTGATTTTTGTGCATGGTGACAGACATGGGTCTATCTGCAGTCTTCTACACACCTCATCCAATTATGACAGCACCATTTGTTGAAGATGCTGTCTTTGCCCCATTGTATAATTTTAGCTGTTTTATCGAAAATCATGTGTTCATAGGTGCGTGGATTAATATCAGGATTTTCAATTCGATTCCATTGGTCTACCTGTCCATTTTTATGCCAATACCAGGCTGTTTTCAGTACTATAGCTCTGTAGTAGAGCTTAAAGTCAGGAATGGTGATGCCTCCTGACGTTCTTTTATTGTATAGGGTTGTTTTGGCTATCCTGGGTCTTTTGTTTTTCCATATAAAGTTGATTATTATCCTTTCAAGGTCGGTGAAGAATTGTGGTGGGATTTTAATGGGGATTGCATTGAATGTATAGATTGCTTTTGGTAAGATTGCCATTTTTTACTATGTTTATCCTACTTAACCAAGAGCATGGGAGATCTTTCCATTTCCTGGTATCTTCTTTAATTTCTTTCTTTAGAGTCACAAAGTTCTTATTATATAGGTCTTTTACTTGTTTGGTAAGCGTTACACCAAGGTACTTTATGTTGCTTTTGGCTATTGTAAAGGGTGATGTTTCTCTGATTTCTTTCTCTGCCTCTTTGTCATCTGAAAAAAAATAGGGCTACTGATTTTTTTGAGTTTATCTTGTATCCTGCTAGTTTTCTGAAGGTGTTTATGAACAGTAGGAGTTCCCTGGTAGAGTTTATTGGGTCGCTTATATAAACTATCATATCATCTGCAAATAGAGACATTTTGACTTCTTCCTTTCCAATTTGGATGCCCTTGATCTCCTTTTGTTTTCTTATAGCATTAGTTAGAACTTCTAGTACAATATTGAAGAGATATGGAGAGAGAGGACAGCCTTGTGTTGTTCCTGATTTTAGAGGAATTGGCTTAATTTTCTCTCCAATCAGTTTGATGTTGGCAGTTGGTTTGCTGTATATTGCTCTTATTATGTTTAGGTATGTTCCTGTTATCCCTGACCTCTCCAATACCTTTATCATGAAAGGGTGTTGAATTTTGTCGAAGGCTTTTTCCGCATCTAGGGAGATAATCATATGGTTTTTCTTTTTCAGTTTGTTTATATGGTGGATCACGTTGATAGATTTTCGTATGTTAAACCATCCCTGCATTCCAGGGATGAAGCAAACTTGGTCATGGTGGATGATTTCTCTGATGTATTCTTGAATTCGGTTTGCCAGTATTTTATTGAGTATTTTTTGCATCAATGTTCATCAGGGATATTGGTCTGTAGTTTTCTTTCTTAGTTGTGTCTTTGTGAGGTTTGGGTGCCAAAGTTATTGTCGGCTCATAAAAAGAGTTTGGCAATGAACCTTCTGTTTCTATCTTGTGGAACAATTTGAGGAGTAGTGGTATTATTAGTTCTTCCTTGAATGTCTGGTAGAATTCTGCACTGAATCCATCTGACCCTGGACTTTTTTTCGTTGGAAGGCTTTTGATGACTGCTTCTATTTCATTGTGGGTTATAGGTCTATTTAACTTGTTTGTCTGTTCTTGATTTAATTTTGATAAGCGATAGTTATCCAGAAACTTGTCCATTTCCTTTGAATTTTCAATTTTTGTGGAATACAGATTTTCAAAGTATGACCTGGAAATTGTCTGGATTTCCTCTGTGTCTGTTGTTATGTTCCCCATTTCGTTTCCGATTTTGTTAATTTGCATGTTCTGTTTCTGCTTTTGTGTTAATTTGGCTAAAGGTTTGTCTATCTTGTTGATTTTCTCAAAAAACCAACTCTTTGTTGCATTGATTTTTTTGTATTGTTTTCCTGGTTTCTATTTTGTTGATTTCAGCCCTCAAGTTGATTATTTCCTGGCATCTACTCATGCAGGGTGAGTTTGCTTCTCTCTGTTCTAAGGTTTTCAGTTGGCCTGTTAATTCTCTTATGTGACTATCCTGTGTTTTCTTCATATGGGCACTTAGTGCAATGAACTTCCCTCGTAGCACTGCTTTCAAGGTGTCCCATAAGTTCAGATATGTTGTTTCCTCATTCTCGTTGAATATTAGAAAATCTTTAATTTCTTTCTTTATTTCTTCTTTGACCCAGGAGTAGTGCAATTGCACATTGTTCAGTTTCCATGACCAGTTTGCAGGTTTTCTGGTATTTGTGTTGTTGTTGAATTCCAATCTTAAACCATGGTGATCTGATATGATACAGGGGACTATTCCTATTCTCTTGTATCTGTTGAGGTTTGTTATGTCACCTAGTATGTGGTCGATTTTAGAGAAGGTTCCATGTGGAGCAGAGAAGAAGGTATATTCTTTTGTCTTTGGATGGAATGTTCTATAGATGTCTGTTAACCCCAGTTGAGACATAACTTGTGTTAATTCTTTTGTTTCTTTGTTGAGTTTCTGATTTGTGGTCCTGCCTAGTGTTGAGAGTGGTGTATTGAATTCTCCCACTATAAGTGTGTGAGGTTTTATATGAGCTTTGAGTTTTAGTAGTGTTTCTTTTACGAATGTGGGTGACTTTGTATTAGGGGCATAGATGTTCAGAATTGAGACTTTGTGTTGATGGATTTCTCCTGAGATCAATATGAAATGACCGTCTTCATCTCTTTTGACTAATTTTGGTTTGAAGTCTAACTTGTTAGATATTAGGATAGCTACACCTGCTTGCTTCTTATTTCCATTTGATTGGAAAATCTTTTCCCAACCCTTTACCCTGAGGTAATGTCTATCTTTGGAGCTAAGATGTGTTTCTTGTATGCAGCAGAAGGATGGATTCTGTCTTCGTATACATTCTGTTAGCCTGTGTCTTTTTATAGGTGAGTTAAGACCATTAATGTTGAGGGTGAGTAAGGTCCATTGATTGTTGATGCTTGTTTGATTTAGGTTTGTTGTTGGCAATGGTATTGTGAATATATTTGTTCTCCTTCACCTTAGGTTTCTGGTGTAGTTGGATTATCTGTTGCCTACATTTTTGTGGTCATGGTTTCCTTCCTTGGGTTGGAATTTTCCTTCCAATACTTTCTGTAGGGCTGGATTTTAGATACATATTTGGAAAATCTGGTTTTGTCATTAAATATCTTGTTCTCTCAATCTATATTGATTGAGAATTTTGCTGGATATAGTAGCCTAGTCTGGCATCCCTGTTCTCTTAATACTTTTAGAACATTTATCCAGGACCTTCTGGCCTTGAGGGTTTCCATGGAGAAGTCAGGTGTAATTTTGATAGGTCTGCCTTTATATGTTACCTGTCCTTTTTCCCTCGCTGCTCTTAATATTCTTTCTTTATTCTGTATGCTAGCTGTTTTGATTATTATATTTCGAGGGGTCTTTTTTCTTTGGTCTAGCCTATTTGGGGTTCGGTATGCTTCTTGTACTTTCATGGGCATGTCCGTCTTCAGATTTGGAAAGTTTTCATCGATGATTTTGTTGAATATGTTTTCGGCACCTTTGAGCTGGGCTTCCTCACCTTCCTCTATGCCTATTATTCTTAGGTTTGGCCTTTTCATGGTGTCCCACATTTCCTGGATGTTTTGTGTTAAGGATTTGTTGGATTTATGATTTTCTTTGGTCAATGAATCTATTTCTTCTAGTTTATCTTCTGCACCTGAGATCCTCTCTTCCATCTCTTGAATTCTATTGGTTATGCTTGTGTCCTTCGTTTCCGATTTTTTGCCCATCTTTTCAATTTCCAGCCTTCCTTTCGTTCGTGTTGCCTTTATTTTCTCAATTTCAGTTTTCAAGTCTTGAACTGTTTCCTTCACCTGGTTAATTGTTTTTTCTTGGCTTTCTGTACTTTCCTTAAGGAATTTGTTCATTTCTTCCACTTTTTTGTTTGTTTTTTCCTCCATTTCTTTAAGGGATTTTCTCACATCTTCTTTGAGGGCCTCTATCATTTTTATGATGGTGATTTTTAAGTCGTACCCTTCTGCTTCCTCTGCTTTGTTGTTGTGTTCCATTCTAATTGGTGTAGATTCCCTAGATTCCGGTGGTGTCATGTTTGTCTTTCTGTTGTTATGTATTCTCTTGTATTGCCTTCTTCCCATAGTTTCTTCCTGTAGGTGTTGGTGGTGCGTCTTCCCTCTCTCTATGGTACTTCCCTGATGGGCTTATGTGGATCTGAGATTCAATATCTGTAGCTCTGTGTGGTCCAAGCTCTCTAGGAGGTTTCTCTGCCAACAGGGAACCAGGGATGGGGTTAAGGATGAGGATCCAGAAGAAGATGCCAGCAGGTTCTCACAGTGGTCCTCTGGCCAATAGCTCTGGACAATAGCTCTGGCTGATAGCTGGCAGAAGAGGATGAGGGCTTAGCTTGAACTTGAGAAGGTTTATCAGGGTAGTGGGATCTCACTGGAACCTGGCGCTCTCCTGCTGAGACCTCGTTCTTTGGCAGGGGCCCGGATTTGGGGGTCAAGGATCTTGCCTGCCTGAAGTCCGAGTGGACCTGCAGAGATAGGCGGATCTCTGCATCAAATCTTTCACAGTGAAAATACTGTACATTTGTTCTATTGTTGTGTCAAACAGCTCTGTCAGGTGCAAAGCTACTGTGGGAATACTTAAATCCAGTGCCACTGGAGAAGCCAGTGCTCCCGCTCACTTCCCTCTCAACAGTCAGCTCCTGGGTTGCTACAGCTTTCGTTAGTAAAATCATTACTGTTGTAAATTCCATCTTAAGTGCCTTCAGGTACTCTCCAAGGGCCTCTCTGACCTTGGCGGTGCCTGTAGTTTTCATAAGGTCCTCCAGTATATCCCCATATCCTTTCTTTTTACTCAATTTTACCTCAGTGTCATCAACTTCATTTTCTTCAAAAAGGCTGGGTATTTCAATTAATCCCTTGTGTTTTGCTCCTGATTCTTTAATTTTACCTTTCCAGGCCAGCTTTATATTCCACTCATAGAAGAAAATCAGCATCCCTTTGCAGCTGTTACAAGAGGCCTCACCTTCCACCTGCTTTAACTCGCTGATCTCACATCGGCCAGCCACATTTTCCATAGAAATGCTAACCAGGAATTCTCGGAGTTTCCCCTTGAACCAAACGGTGACATCCTGTTCTGTCCAGTGCCAGTTGTTCACGTTGGTCCCATTCTCCTGCTCCTCCATGATCCAGCGCGGGTCCCCATGACCCCACTTGGCATTGGCGGCGAGAGCGGAGCAGACGGCGAGGGCCGGGGTAGCAGGTATGCGCGGATTTCCGGCCTGAAGGTCTGTGATCCACATGCTCACTGGTCCCAGAAAGTGCCAGAAGTCCCCACCCTGGGCCGCTCCATCCACACTGCCCTACCCCTGTTGCCCGTGGCTGGGTCCCCCAAGTCTATCTCTTCTTAATTTCTGCATTGGTATTTTGTTTGTGATCTATCAAATAAGGCTTTCCTGAAGATCAGAGTAAGAGTCACTATTTAGCTACACACTTGGTTAAGTATACATTACTAGTTTGCCACAAACTAACCCACTTGATGGTGAAAGACAAAAAAGTAAAGTTAAAGAAACCCCTCACTTGAAATGAAGGACTAACCTGGAAACCAATATCTGTTCCTTGGAAGTTGCTAACTTCCCCTCACAAGGCCCTGAGATAACAAAATACCAAGAATTCACACTGCCCCTCCTTTCTTGTGAGTCAGCGGGTGGTGAATAGGGTCCTTAAGAAACAAAGAGATAACTGCACCTCCGGTTTGCCCAGACAAGATTAATTAGCACACCCTGAGGCCCTAAGGTCTGTTGACCCTACTAGGGAGACCATCCGGCCTCAAAGGGTCACATATTCAATGGACAGTGGGTTTTGCCTTTAAAAACACCTGTGCCTTGGGGGGAGGCTGCTTCCCTCTAGCCTGCCTGCTGGAGGAGCCCGTTTGCGCAAACGTTTCCTGTTCATTAAAGCCTCTTGCATATTGCAGCAACTGGACTGGACATTGAGTTCTTGGGGATACTGACTGAAACTGGGAGACTCCTCATTCTGAGGGTCTTACAATGGAAATGTAATTCTGTAAATATGTTTCTCATACTGGTTAATGAATAAAGCACTCTTGGCCAATAGGAAAGGAAGACAGGAGGGACTAGGAGACAAGGAGTAAATAGGAAGTACTAAGGAGGAGTCAAGATGGAGAGTCTGGAGAGAGCAGGATGCCAGCTGGCTCTCAGGTAAGACCAGGTGGAAATACATCATTAACAGAAATGGGTTAATAATTAAGACAGAGCTAGCTGATAAGAAACTAGTGCCTGGCCAACAGCATTATATCAAATACAGAGTCTCTGTGTATTAATTGGGGCTGGTGTGGCTGCAGGACAAGACCAGGGACAGGAGGAAAACCTTACTACTTACATATGGCGCCCACGTGGCTAATAAGAACTTCCACTTAAATTTTAACAAAAGCTTTAAAAAGCATTTAGAAACAAAAGAACAGAGATAAGCAAGGTTTCTTGGTAGCAGCATTTTCTCAGTTGGACTATGCTTTGTGAGAGACAAGCAGATATTTGTGCCACTCCTTTAAGGGAAGTTTCCTGACTCAGCACAAGCGGCAAAAAAAAAAAAAAAAAAAAAAAAAAAAAAAAACTGCACGGCTTTAAAAAAAAAAAAAAGCACTGATAACAATTTATTGGTGTGTACGAGAGCTGGCAATGGCAGTGACCACATCTCCAAGTCAGCAACATGCTGCTGAATGGCAGCGCAAACCAAGACGGTGAGCACAGCTCTCACAGCTGGCAGTAAAGTTACCCACCGCCATCTTTAGTAAACCGCGGCTGAAACAGCTATGACTTTCATTTTAACAATGTTGTTGTTTACCAGATAAAAGACTGATGGCCAGAAAAAGATAAACATTTACAGTAAAGACAGAGTCATATTAAGAAAACCTCTAAAGGTTTACGCTGTGTTTTAAAATATACATAGACATGGGAGGGAAAAAAAGAATAAAATGGTTTTTAAAAAGACAAAGAGGAACTGGGTGTGGTGGCACATGCCTTTAATCCCAGAACTGGAGAGACAGAGGCAAGGAGATCTCTTGTGATTTCAAAGTAAACTTGGTATGCAGAGTGAATTCCAGGAGCAATAAATGTTACACAGAGAAACCCTGTCTCAAAAAATAAAAGTAAAAGAAACACAGTAATAAAAAAGCCAGGATGGAGAGAATCTGGATACTGTACGGTGTTATATTGTCTTTGTATCATCTGACTGCTTAGGAAATAACAACAACTATTAAAACAAATGCTGCTGCTGGATCAATTCAATTTATATATTTTAAAAATGCTTTGACTTCAAAAGTTAAGTCTAAGGACAAGTTACTGGGGAAAAGGATTTCTATTTTGGTTTCCACAGAAAATGAAAAGCTGTGGATTCCTTCCAGACTATTGTGGTTTGATAAAGGCAGACCCCCTGAAACAGAGTTCCTGGTGATCCAACATTCAAACAGCTTGAACAAGGCAGCCTTGCAGACCACAGCCAGGATTTCCGTGTTTTTTAGTATCCTCATAACAGCGCCCCTTACCAGCAGGAAGTAGCTTGGAAAGAACGACGCCCAAATTAACAAATATTGTTGATAAATGTTTGTTTTTATTTAAGTGGGCTTGGTTATAAATGATTAATGACCACAACCAATCTCTTTTTAAAGGTAAAAGGGGGATTATGTTATAGATATGAATACTTTGTTTTGGAATGCATTTTCATTTATTGATACAATTTAAGATCAATTTTGTGATGTGTACATTTCTACTCTTGTTTAGGTATTGTGTTTATATAGCTCATTTAAAAATACTATGTGTAATTTAGTTCAGATTTTAGATAGTTACTTATAATAGTCAAAACTTATAGCTAGGTAAGTTAGGATTTCTAGATATGTAGAGATGTATTTGAGATGAATAGGCATTCTTCAAACCTTTCAAAGACTTACAGAATAAGGCATATAAAATGGTTTAGGGTTTTCCTTGACAGGGAGACATAATTGCTCCTGGCAACAGCACCTGCATCAGAAAGAAAGATGGACATTGAAGAAACTCATTATGGAGTTTACTTCCAGTATGGCAATTTGGACAAGATACTGCTCTTGTCTGGACTGTTTGACTTTATGCTGCATGAACTGGTCATTCAGGACCCACAGAAATGTGACTGCTGATTCAAGATAGACATTGATAAAGATTTCTTGCTTCATGGAAGAGTCTGCCATACAGTCTGCAGGACACACACACACACAATGACTGACAAACTGCCAATACAAGAAGATAGTTTAAAGTTTCCTGCTTTGCTGAAGAGTCTGCTAGACACACTATGGCCTATGGGCTGAAGATGGAAGATTACAGAAGAATTTCAGGTGACTGTCCAGGCAATGAGTTGTCTCTGTCATTTCTAGAGTTTATATATGATCCTTCTGTTGTCTTTGAGGGAATTGAAGACATAGTTATGGTTATAGTTTTCCTTAGTTAGGATTAAAGATAAGTTACAGTGTCTAAAGACTTTAGACACAGAAATATAGGGTAGATATTTTCTTTAAATCTTACTAAATGTTAATGGACTAAATATTGTGAAATATGATTCCTATTTGATAACTGTTGTGTGATATATTTTGCTATGTTAAGGTTAAAACCCTTCTTTTTATTTAGACAGAAAAGAAGAGATGATGGGAGATGTCATTCTGGAAATATGTTTCCAATAGTGGTTAATGAATAAAGCACTGTTGGCAAAAAGGAAAGGAAGACAGGAGGGACTAGGAGACAAGGAGGAAATAGGAAGTACTAAGGAGGAATCAAGATGGAGAATCTAGGGAGAGCAGGACACCAGCCAGCTCTCTGGTAAGACCATGTGGAAATATATAGATTAACAGAAATGGGTTAATAATTAAGACAGAGCTAGCCGATAAGAAACTAATACCTGGCCAACATAATTATATCAAATACAGAGTCTCTGTGTATTAATTGGGGCTGGCGTGGCGGCGGAACAAGACCAGCAGTGGGAGGAAAAACCTTATCCTTACACCCACTAGTTAGCCAAAGATACTAACTCACTAGTTACCCCTACACACTATGTCACCTGTTAGCCAAACACCTAAGTCACTAGTTAGCCACACACATGAAGTCACTAGTTAGCCAAACACCTAAATCAATAGTCAGCAACATGCCTAAGTCGCTAGTTAGTCACAAAAATTAGTCATAAGTTTACCACTCTTTCTCCATATCTCTTCAATATCGTACTAGAAGTTCTAGGTAATGCTATAAGACAACAAAAGGACATCAAGGGCATCCATATTGGAAAGGAAGAAGTCAAACTGTCTCTATTTGCAGATGATATGATAGTTTATATAAGCGACCCAATAAACTCTACCAGGGAACTCCTACAGTTCATAAACACCTTCAGAAAACTATCAGGATACAAGATAAAGTCAAAAATATCAGTAGCCCAGCTAATGGAGGGAGAAGTAGGAGAAAATGAGAGGGAGGAGAGGAAGGCATGTGCGACCAGGAGGATTGAGCCTGGTTAGGAATGGAAAATAGGAAAGAGAGAGAGAGACAGAGACAGAGAGAGAGAACATAAAAGAGGGAGCCAATATTGGTTTGAAGATAAAGTTGAACACAAAGAAAGGTCGAGGGAACTACAAGACTGCTCCCAACTAACAATCTCAGCTTCCGTGGAAAGGCTATCATAAATGCCCTTCCTGGAGAGTGAGATCAACAACTAACTTCTCCATGGAGTCCTCAACTAATGCCTGTTGAAAACAGGAGCAAACACCCATACATAAACACTGAGTCAAACTAGAACCCAGAAGCAGATGGAGAGGACAAGACCATGCGGTAGAAGTACATAGAGACAGCTTACCTGAACAAGGAGGAGCTAAGGGCCACTAGACTGATAGCTGGGAAGCCAACAGGGGTCTGACTCAGACCCCCCTGAATATGGGTCTCAGCCAGAAGGTCTGAGCAGTCTAAGAGACCTCAGACAGTGGAGCCAGGATGTATCCCTGGTGCACAAAAGGACTTTGCAAACATATCCCCCATGGAGGGATAACTGCCTTATTCTAGAGATAGGAGAGAAGCCCTAGTCCCTACTTCACAGGACCTGTCAGATCTACATGACCCCAACTGGATGGCATTCCCCTACAAATTGTATTGTGGTGGGGGGTTGGGAGGGGAGGGTGTTTAGAGTGCATGGGAGAGGGTAGAGAGGGCAAAAGGGAGGGAAGGAGGGAGGGAGGGCTTGGGGGGAGGGAGGGAGGGAGGGAGAGGGAACTGGGATCGAC